CCTCCCACTCACTCCCTATTTATTTCAAAACCCCCTTCCCCTCCCCCTTTTCTGATGAAGGGTCTAGGCCCGAAACGTCAGCCTCTCTGCTCCTGTGATGCTGCTTGGCCTGCTGTGTTCATCCAGCCCTGCACCTTGTTGTCTCGGATTCTCCAGCATCTGCAGTTCCTACTATCTCTGATTCAACAACTCCATAAAAGTTGTGATGCACTAGGACTCATCTACTCAGCCAAAAGAACGTAAGATATAAAACACTGTCAAAACTGCTTATGAGACAAATTCTTTAGAACATAATGCTTAAGGGACAATTATGTCCTGTAAAACATATTTCCCAGTGCACTAAAAGGGAATTGTGAGATCTCACTTAATAAATTACACCTACCAGACATTAAAAGGGAAAGTCTTTCATTCCTGATGTGTTCTAGAATCTACAACTGTCTTGATTTCACAGTGTTTTCAATCCATCACTTAGTTTTGATTTTTGATTTTTTTTTGTCAGCTAAAAACAATTGTTTTAACAGATGGTTCCATTGTTCTGTGAAACCATTTTTAATTAGGAAAATTAAAATATATTTAATTTATTGCATTAACTTTTCACTTACAGCCAAGCGTTTGTATTCCGCAGCAGATGAAGAGCCAGGTAAGCAAGCCACAGATTTCTCAGTATCTGTTCTGTTCTTGAACCTGGACTGAGTATCTGGACTATGGTTCCATGAAGAAGAACAATCAAAATGTTATGGTGCCATTCATTTCTGAACCTAACTTTTAACTTCCTCAAGCCAATCAACAGTATTAGCTCATCATTTATTTTTATTTTTTTTTCATAGAATGTGGGCACCACCGGCAAAGTCAGCATTTATTACCCTTCTGTAATTACCTTTGAACTGAGTGGCTTGGAAAAGGGCAGAAAAGGGTCAATCACATTGCTTTGGGTCAGAAAGCACATACACGTTGGACTAAGTAAGGACAACAGATTGCCTTCCTTAAAGAACATTTATGAACCAGATGGGTTTTTCCATGACAGTTAATTAGAGTTTCACACTCAGCATTACTGAGACTCGCTTTCAATTTTAGATTTATCAACAATTTGAATTTAAATTCCACCAGCAGAGATTTGAACTGGTGTCCTGAAATGCAATGACTATTGTGGCATTATTTCCCCAGCATGCATAGCTCTGCGTTTGCTCCTGGTCTTTAAATTTACAGCATAAAAAGTTCTTGTGTATTCTATAGAACACTTACTTAATTGTCTGTTTCTGAAGGATATCTTGGTCAGTTGCATTCAATGTCACAACAACACTGCCTATTGGGATGTTCTCCGGTTTGACTACGATTGTTGGGTCCGGATTGAAAACAGGCGGCTCATTCACATCAAGAACGGTGACTTGCACGGTGGTGGTGGAACTGGAACCATAACTAATCTCAGGCATGATTGGATCTTCATTTTCCACCTTAATCAGCAGTGTGTGAAATGCAGATCTTTCATAATCCAAAGGCTGAAATGAAATACATTTTTTAAAATGTTGTAGTTACTCGCATTGGTAAATGAATTCAGAATCAAATTCTCAATTACAGATGCAAAGCAATTTTTTGAAATAGCTTTATTGATTTATAATTAATCTCCAGGAGTAGTAGGTCAATATGTAAAACGTAACTGCTCATTTGCTTGAATCAATTTTTACCATTGAACATTTTGATCTCTAAGAAATGAAAATCATTTCAATACTACTTTGTGGAATTCAATAATAGTTCTCTTTCTCTTCTCCTCTTCTGTTCCACAAGGCATGGACTCCCACACTGCGATAGAGTTCTACAGTGTCCCTTTGGAAACTTGCCAATTTATGTCAGCATTTTGATTGTTAATATTGGCAACTTTCTGGAATATGGAGGCAAACCCAATACACTTCTCACCCAATTTTCACCTCCTTGCACTTTCTGCAGGAGTAAATGAATGTTGAGTAAAGGGGCTGATTTTACTGAATGCATTGGCAGTCAGGCCACTTGTAAAATTGCTCCTGCCTGAGTACTATCAGTTAATTCATCACGGGCAGTCATTCAACTGGGAGTCCTTATGTTTTCTGTGGCACTGAAATAAGACTTTTGAATTTGATCGTTGAAAAAAAAAGTGTCAGGTCTTCCAACTGCTTATATTCCCAAAAGGAAAAAGCAGCAAAACTTAAGAATGATACATGCTGTCTGACTTGTATACTTTGAAATGCAGCTCTAATATGACCAATACATTCATTTCTAAATATTACTGTTTTTATCACTAGTCTATCCCTCTGCTGATGACTGTGATTTGGTTGGAAGGTGCTTTTTAACATATAGGGCAACAGCACAGTGAAAACCCTTCTTCTCACTGTATTTCCAATGCAGGGAGTGGAATAAAGTAGGTTCAAATGACAGCAGAGAATTCAGAAGGGACAAAGAAAAAGAATATCCTGGAGGTAGGATTAAACAAAAAGACACAGGAGAAGAACACCACAAAGAAAAATGAGACTTGCATTTTTATTACACCTTCCACAACCATGGATATGTCAAAGTGCTTTTGTAGCCTACGAAGCCCTTTTGAATTTTAATTGCTGTTGCAATATCCAATTTTCACACTGGAAACTTCCATAAACAGCAACATGACCATGTAATCTTCTTTTGGTAATGCGGATTGAGGGATAAATATTGGCCGGGACCTGAAGGATAACACCGTTGTTCTTCTTCAAAATAGTGTCATGGGATCTTCTACACCCATTTGGGAGAGCAAACTGGCTCTTGATTTAATGTTTCATGCAAAAGACAGCACCTCCAACTATGCAATTCTCCCTTAATAATACATTGGTGCGTTAGTCTTGATTTTTGTCCTCAAGTCCCAGAATGCAAGTTAAACCTGTAATGTTTTGACTCAAGGAATGAGTGTTACATCGGAACCCTGCCTGACATGGTCATTCACATACCTTTCCAGCTACCATTGTACTGTTGTATATCACATTTCCTGAATATTTAGCTGAAAATTAAAAACACTTGATTGCATCTGAGAGCATATTTATATATGTCTGCAGACGTACAAGTGAAAAGATATTGCTAATTGGTCTGTAATGCTATTGCATTTTTGTTATCTTTTAAAGACAGCTAGAGGCAAAGAATGCCAAAGTTGGAAGAATAGCTAGCTTCAGGCCCTTTAGTAAGCACAAAGAGGAATCCCTACAAATCATGGGCAGCCACAATCATAGCTGGTATAAAATGGAAACATTGAAAGAGAACTGATAGGTTCAGGTTAATGGTAAAGCACAGCCCTTTCCGAACCATGGGTTTTCCTTCTCTTTTATTGTTTTTGATTTGTGACTCAGAGAATATTTTCTGAAATGAACATGTATTGTCTTTCACAGATGCTGAATGCTCACAGAAAGGCGACTCTAGGTAGCAATGCACTCCACCAGAGGGACCACATCCTCCATCTGCTTCACCTAATCCATCATGGCACTTTTATTGTTCAAGGACCAGCCTAGATATTCATAATTGGCTGGTTTGGTGAGTGAAAATTTCACCCAGTAAAAGATCTGGGTCAGAATGATAAGGAAAGAACCATCTCTTCAGTTATGGTGCTTCCAGTTTAATTCTTTGATGTAATTGTGGCAAAATACCAGGGTCACCATCTTGACCTACTATCTGGCCAATGTGTAAAACTAATTTCAACTGTGATCTTAACTTCTTCCTCAATATGTAGTGCCATCTAAGCAAAAGGAAATTGTGAACTTTGTGCCAGTAATTGCACCCATGAACTCCTTGAAGATTGAGTAATACTCATTTCAATAAAACTTCATTTCCAGGCAGTGGGGAAAATCTCCTTTTATGTCGTAATGATAGTCCCAGTAATTGTACATAACCCCCATCTCTGATAAATAGTATAATGTGAGAAACACCCCAAAATGTGTGATAATTCATGCAGGTCGAAGACTTCATGAAGATGCGTTAAGAGCTGTTGTCCCTTTTGAAGTAACACAATAGCTTGAAAACCACTCCAGCTTGGGACTTCCAGCACTTAATTGAGACTGTACATTTGGTTTTCATATAGATCTTCAATCCAACTGAGCTGGTTACCAAACAGTAGAGGGCTGCAATGAGTGAGGGTAAATATTGCCAATTTTCATGGCAGTGACAATGCAATTACATCAATTCAGCTTCTTCAAAACCTTATAGGGGTGGGAGTAACAGTTCGTGTCTCGTAGGCAATGTTTCAGATGCACTGAAATCTGCTGCTTAAAGCCTGTCAGCTGCACTGGGCTGAGTATCGCATAAATCTTAAGGTGTCCATGGGTTCAAATCAGCCAAAAACTTCAGTCTCCAGGCATTCAGCCGCACTATATTAGAGAACAATTTTAAGGTTATGAGCAAAAAACAACTTTAGATATGAGCAGATACGGACATGAGATAGCTACAGCAGTGCAAGATTCTGAAGTAATTGGTAAGATACGTTTCTCAGAATTTGATATATTGCAACATATCCTCTGATTTTCCTTCTTTGTTGTTATTGTCGTCATTTTCTGTAAAGATTCAAAACACATTAGATAAAGAATGCAAAAAAAACTTGAAATAACTCTTTCACTTCAAGATGTGCCAAAGTACTTTTAAGCATAGACATAGTTGTAATAATAAGAGATGTGGCAGCCCATTTATGCACAATATTGGCCCACAGCCAATAATGAGAGAGAAATGGCCGTGTTATCTATTTCATGATGATTGGTGAAGGGTAAATATTAGTTAGAACATCTGAAGAACTTCCCAGTCTTCAATATGCTGTGGGATCCTTTGTGCTCTTTGGAGATTGAAGACAGCTTGGTTTTATAGCTGAAAGATGCCTCTATATCTGACTAACTCCCTCACTACTGCACTGAAGGATCAGCCTAGATTATGTGCCATAGTCTGTGGAGTGGTCTTGGAACCATGATTTGACTCAGAAGAGTATGCTGCTATTGAGTCAAGGGTGGTACTTTTAAATCAGCTGGATGATTTAAAGATGATCACAAAGCACTGTCATTCAGACACAGAATACATTTTTTTGCTGGAACAGGTTGGTAGAGATTGTTTGTCTTAAGACACATGGAGCTGGCATTATGGTGGCCTCCTGTGAATTTTCCTCATGATCACGGGTTTGCTGTCTAGCACCACTTACTCCTCGTCTTTTCTAACTGGAAGTCTCAATTTCCTTTGGGTCAGCTGCTGTACAAAGCCACTGCAATTCTGAAAACCTCTGCTCTACTGCAACATTTTCTTGATCTGTCTAGAATGGAAATTGAACTTGAAAATTCCAGCGAACTCCCAAAGCCTCCGTCTTCAGATAATGAAAAATCGTCATTACTTCTTGATGTTGGTACTGCGTGTTTCCATTAAGCATTCAGTCATATTACTCTGGCTGAGCATTGCAGGTGTATAACTTACCCGAGAGTAAACAAACTATGGCTAATTTACAGGCAGTGTGCAGTGAAACACATCAGGAAGTTGTTAGCATTCCAGATTATCTGAACATTCAGTGAAAAAAATCTTTTCCCTTGCTGAGGCTTTACATTTATACAGCACCACTCACAACGTCAGGACATCCCAAAGTGTTTTGTAGCCTATGAAGTACTTTAAAAGTAGAAGTCATTGTCTTGATGTGGGGAACTCTTCGGCTGATTGTGGAGTCACAATCAGCACAATGTGACTTACATCAACAGAGTACGCTTGGAAGGAATCTTGATATATAACAACGTAAATGCTGACATCATCATTCGAGTCACGGTCAAGGCAGTGCCTCAGGAGAAACATTTTGAAAAGCATGTTTCAATATCTGACACATCTCTGTCAAGATTCCAGGGGAAAACAAACCTTCCTCATAAAATGCTGTTTTTTTAAAAAAAAAACTAATTCTTGCAGACGTAATGGTCCAGTAAGCAGGTTAGATGTTGCCCACTTGCATGTCACTATGATATCCAGGTTTTCTTCCTTTTTGATCCAGATCCTCATAATCCTCCTACTCAAAGCACAGGAAACCAGAGAGAAATTCTTTATTCAATCGTGCCGAACACACGATAAAATAATTCCACAGATGCCAGTATTCTGTCATCAAGTCACCCTTCATTTACACGTGCCGAGTCCTTGACACTGATCCAGCTTCCTCAGAGCCAGCTCTCAGAGTGAACAGAACCTCTGATACTCTTGTTTATATCTATCAGCCAGGGCTCCCTGATTGGACCAGGTTAACAACTCCAATCAGGGAACTTATATTCTATGAGGTCCACTTGGCTGACCTCATTACAATCACTACACTTGACATTCTTCATGGGTTTCCACAAAGACTCTTTAACTATTTAAAAAAAATTGGAGCTTCAATGCCGTAGAAGTATAAAATTGCAGACCCGGACTTCTAAGAAAGGTTTCAATCTTTTCCTGTTTGTTCAGTAATGCAAATACTCAGGGCTACCTTCTTTATGATGGCAGTAATCTTCAAGGGTGTTGAGAGGACATAAGTGTTGTGAAATTTTGACAGACATTTTCTCATGTTTCCTTCCCTGCTGCCTCTGCAATTGATTTAAACGCAACAGGGCACATGTTCAGCAGATGAACCAAAAGACACAGCCAGAAACCAGCAGAGAAATCATGTCAGCAAATATGCAATTGGACTTATGGAAGAAAGATGTCTATGTCCCATCTTACTTGTCAATAAGTTTGAAAACTGTGGGAAGTGAACATTTGCCTTCGGGACATTGGAGTGTTCTATCAATGAGCAATTGGGCAAATACAGAAATTCACCCTTTGGAGCTTGAAAAGAATCCATGCTCTAGAACTAGTTTACATTGAGATGATAGAATACTAGCCTATCATCTATATACAGTCAAGTTTCCCCAGTATATTAGCAATTGGGTGAGAATAGCAGCAATCTATGGATACACTTAAATACACTCGCTTGCTTGACCTGATGGAAAGTAATTTCAAACAGCAACTATGATGGATGAAGAAAACAGAAATGAGTAATATAATATTTAAAACATCCATAACATATGGCTGTGACTTGCTTTGTGTGTCTCGAGTAACATTGCAATTCAAGTTATCATTTATTTGTAAAGAAATCAATGGTCTTTTGTTCACTGAAGAGTGTGAAAGATTGAGCACCATACAGGAAAACTTACTTTGTCAACAAATAACATTCCATCATTGTTCTTCGGATTTGTCTCAATTTTGAAGTTCATGTCAGGGTTTCCATTGATAATGGTGTAGACAGCTCTCCAAGCTCCAGTAGCTGGGTCATCATTGTCTTCTACAGTAAGATTCACTATAATTCCAGTAAATCCTTCGTTCACTGTAGCTTGGAACTGATATTAAAAAAAAACATTGTTATCTCTAAGTAGCTGCAAGACTTCAATTATCACAGTAATAAAATAGAATAAATTATTCAAGTACTCTGCCTCATTTTCTGTGAACTTTACAGCCTGTTTTGATTCCTATAACATTTGGTTATGCTTCCTATCACCAGATAATTAAAACATTTCACCTTATGGAGAAATTAAATTTATATTAGACTGTGATCTAAACACATTACTTGAACAACCTTTTATTTGTTACTATTGCATCAGTGCAGACAATGAATTCAAATCTCTTGATTGATGTGTGTAATAGGTACGCATCTATGACGGAACCAGGTTGTCTTTGTTAATCAGTGGAGTCTTCAACAATGTGGCACATAGCTCCTATTATAGCTATACCCTCAACATGGGGAATCTTAACTGCCCTATCATTTGAAGTGCATTTGATCATTTTGCAATTGAAGTGATGATGGTTACCCTCAGATTACACCAAACTTAAAAACAGGAGCAAAAACAGAAATTGCTGGAGAAACTTAACATCCTGAAGACTCAAAATGTTAACTCTACTTTCTCTCCACAGGTGCTGCCTGACCTGCTGAGTTTCTTTACCAATATCAGTTTTTGTTTCAGATTTCCAGCATTCATAGTTCTTTGCTTTACTTAAAAATAAGAGGCTGGAGAGTAGAATCTGTAACATTTTACACAGAAGGTAGGAACAGGAGCGGGCCATTCAAACCCTCGAGCCTGCATCTCCATTCAATATGATCATGGCTGATCATCGAGTTCAATACCCCAATCCCACATATCCCTTGACCCTTTTAGCCGCTATATCTACCTCCTTCTTTATGAGTGGCACAGTGCCTCAGTGGTTAGCACTGCTGCCTCTCAGTGCCAGGAACCTGGATCCTATTCTACTGGGTAACCGTCTGTGTCAGGTTTGCACATTCCTGTGTGTCGGTGTGGGTTTCCTCCGGGTGCTCCGGTTTCCTCCCTTAGTCCAAAGATCTGCAGGCTAGGTGAATTGGACAGGCTAAATTGCCCATTGTGTCCAGAGATGTACAGGCTAGGTGAATTAGCCGTGGGGAATGTAGGGTTACAGGGATAGGGTAGGGAGAGGTGCGTATGGGTGGGATGCTCTTGGGAGAGTTGGTGTGCACTCAATGGGCCAAACGGCCTGCTTCTACATTGTAGTGATTCTATGATTCTTGGAAACACAATGTCTTGGCCTCAACCACTTTCTGTGGTAGTAAATTCCACAGGTTCACCACCCTCAGGTGAAGAAATTTCTCCTCCTAGAGACATAGACATAAACATAAACAGCACTTTGGTCCAACTTGTACATGCCGACCAGATATCCTATATAAATCTAATCCCATTTGTGTGCACTTTGCCCATATCTCTTCAACCCTTCCTATTCACATACCCATCCAGGGGCCTTTTAAATGGTGTAATCAGACCAGCCTCCACCACCTCCCCTTTCACTTTAAAACTACACCCTCTAGTTTTGGACTCCCCAACCCCAGGGAAAAGACCTTGTCTATTTACCCTATCCATGCCCCTCATGATTTTATAAACCTCTATAAGGTCACCCCTCAGCCTCCGACACTCCAGGGAAAATAGCCCCAGCCTATTCAGCCTCTCGTTATAGCTCAAACCCTCCAACCCTGGCAACAATCGTGTAAATCTTTTCTAGTTTCACAACATCCTTCCTGTAGAAGGGAGACCAGAATTGCATGCAGTACTTCAAAAGTGGCCGAACCAATGTCATGTACAGCCACAACATGACCTCCCAACTCCTATACTCAATGCACTGACCAACAAAGGCAAGCATATCAGACACCTTCTTCACTATACTATCTACCTGTGACTCCACTTTCAAGGAACTAATGAACCTGCACTCCAAGATAGCAGGAACTGCAGATGCTGGAGAAACTGACGTAACAAGGTGTAGAGCTGCATGAACACAGCAGGCCAAGCAGCATCAGAGGAGCAGGAAGGCTGACGTTTCAGGCCTAAACCCTTCTTCAGAAATGAAGAAGAAGGGTGAAGAAGGATCTAGGCCCGAAACGTCAGCCTTCCTGCTTCTCTGATGCTGCTTGGCCTGCTGTGTTCATCAAGCCCCACACCTTGTTACCTCTGCGCTCCAAGGTCTCTTTGTTCAGCAACATCCCATTCTAAAAAGGTTTATGTCTTATCATTAAACTATTAACCCTGGTTCTGGAAACCCCAACATTCGACTCATTCTTCGTACATCGAATCGATTATGTACTGTTAGAATTTTATGGGTTTCTATGTGAGCCCCTCTCATTTTAGAAGCATTTCTTGCCATCAAAGATACTACCTGGTCATGAAATTTAGGTTCCTTAGAGAAAATGTCTAGATGGAACACTTGATTTTAATGATGTTGTAAGAATTCTTCTTTTCAGCGCAGTAAATATGTCCAAAATTCTAGTCAATTCTGGCTTATGCCAAATGTTTTGTTTTATAAATTCCCAAACTCTTCAATTGCAGATGTTTATAATCACACTATAGAGGATTATGGAGAGTTTTGTAATGGACCTTACACTGAGACTTTCACCAGACCTTCACCCTTAACACTAAACCATGAGATATTCTCTGCAAATTATTGAAGATCACTAGCATAACTAACTATACACCATAAGTAAGAAGCAATATACTATACAATACAATAGGACACATGAACAGGCCCTTCTGCCCACCAAGCTTGCACTAATTCCTAATTCTTATTTAGACACTACTTATTGCCCATATGCAGTTTCTATCCCTCTGTTCGCCTCCCGCTCATATGCCTATCGTGCAAACGTGCCTACTTCTACCACCTCCAGTGGCAGTGCATTCCAGTCACCCAACACCGTCTGTGTGAAAAATACTCCCCACACTTCTCCCCTAAACTGTCCCCCGCTGACCTAGAACCTGTACCCTCTTGCAGTTGACCTTTCCACCCTGGGAAAAAGCCTCTGACTATCCACCCTATCTATGCCTTTCATAATTTTGTAGACATCTATCAGGTCCCCCTCAGCCTCCATTCTTACAGTGAAAACAATCCAAGTTTATCCAATCTAATCCTCATAGCTATAACCCACTTGAAACACGTTCTGCAGTCAACATGATGTTGCCCTACCCAAAATTGGAGCAACCACTGAGGTATTATCCCAATAGCCACTACTGGTACCTCATGGTATCCATAGCCTATTCCAATCTGTGGTTCAGACTATGGGTTGTTTGAAGTGGTTTGTTGCCACCAACCCTGCTTTGTCTATTCTTTATCTCTACTGTCTAATGACCAGTAGTAGCAGATACACTACCATGGAATCTTTACAGAAAAGGCATTGCTCTTCATTAACAAAATGGTATATTGCAGGATAGCAAAGAGTGCAGCTGCAACACCATCAAGAATAAATTCTAGGACCTTTAGGAGTGTACACAATACGTCTATCATCTCCAAAGGCTCATGTTGAACTCACTATCTCAACCCAGGATTATGGTGACATCAAAAAGGATGGAGTTCAATGTAACAAGAACATTAACATCTTCAGAACTTTACTACCTTAGATAACAACCCACCTACAATGAGCATCAATAACAATTTTTAATGCAATTGTTGGAAGGCAATATTAGCCCAGCTTTACAAAACTCATCATCTCCAATATCGCTCATATCTTGCACAACACAGACACTTCTGCCAACTGTAAACCCAACATGGCTGGGGAAATGAAGCTTCTAATAATCTTATTGGCTGGACCTTATTGACATGTATTGGATCTGATCCATGCTGGAATCTAGGAAGGAAAGCTAGTGGCAGGATACTGCAGCCAAGGAATCTAATCAATGATTCCATGTAATTGCAGCTTAGATTGTAGAGTGGGAATGCTAGAAAATAAGTCAGGGAGAAAAAGAGAGACTGCAATGGTAGAATGCAGTAGGCAGAAGACTTTCTTGCAGGCCAAGAAAGAGTGCGAGAAAAAAAAAAATCACTTATCCTGTGAAATCACATATCCTCCCACCTTTCATTAGCCTTTCCTTATCCCTGGCAAATCCATGCAGTTGCAAAGAGTTGATATCAGTGCAGGAGACTTAGATAGCATATTATCCACCATTGCAAAGTGGTGGCAGTCCATTGGTGTGGTATATTACAGACATACTTCCCATATTTCAGTTTTAACAGCTACTCCCTACTGGGGTCCCTAAAATATTCCCCAAGCTGACCCTTTACCACTCATCATGATGGTAGTTGATACAGAGGCTGACGTCTCTCGTTGAACCAGGCAGTTTTGAAAACAATAATGCAAAGATAAAACCTGATTTTTCTGCCCTGACAGCTTAGTATTAGTTTTTATTAGCCTTAGCTTGCTCAGAATACCATGTCAGTTAATTTTTGTTGAATATTTTAAGACTTGAAATAATTTTAATCCAAAAATGAATAAACAAAGCAAAAACTGGCTTAATCAATTACCGTTATTTTAAAGATCTTTTATTCTCAATATGGCATATGACAATGCTATTTTTTTCTCTGTTGGTGGCATATATGAACATTAACATAATTTCTCTTTGCATAAATACATTTCGTTGTTGAAAATCTAACTGCTATAAAATACAACTGGCAATTTCAGATAACACTTCAGCCTAATTGCAGGGATGGACTTAAATTGTTATCTGCACAATTGAGTGCCAAGAAACTTCTGTAACTAATAAATTATGATGGCTCAAGAGAATACTTCTGGCGTTCACTTAGCTTCCACAAGTATCTCAGAGAAGGTCCTGCCTCTCTATATTCCTTACAATATTTAGAGCTGCTTTGGTTATGATGGCAGAAGAAAATCATTTTGTTTGTTAAATGCAGCCTTAAGGTTCATAGTTAGTCCACCCAATAAGAGATCTATGTTGCAATGGTGTTTGAAGCAAAAGGAGAATATTTGTGAAAAATAAGAGAAATATGAAGAACAAAATGTAGCTGGTCAGCCTCACTGGGGTAGTGCACTGGAAATCTT